AATTTCCTAAAAATTAAAACTATTTTAATGTCTGGGTTGAAAATGGTAATGGACATTATTTTATGTGTACATAAAAAATTCACCAGATGGTCCAAGAAGGGGCTGTAACATCATGTAATGAAAATACCTACAGACAGTACTGAAAGCAAAATAATAATAATAATAATTCAATTCTTTTTATCAGAGTGCTACACCAACAGCCAGGCAGCCAATTACAGATACGGCCCCAAAAATTAAAATAACAGTAATAGTAATAATAATAATAATGCTGTTATAATGCTTTCTCTGTCTTCTTCAGTCTTTGAATCTAGCAACAAGTACTTGTTTATTGCAAACTATAAATCTTTGTGGTTCATCATCAATCAGATAAGAAATTAAGCTAAAAGGGTAAATAAAGTTGAAACAATTAATCTCACACAGTTAAAGAAAATTCACAAAGCACCACCAAATTTTTGACTAAAAATTCAATATACATAAGCACACAAACAACTATTAACACTATAAAGAAGACATTATTGCCATATGGCAATAGTGTCTTCTTTATAGTGTTAATAGTTGTTTGTGTGCTTATTTATATTCTAATACACTACACAGTATGCAAATTGTTAAAAATTTTAGGATTAAAAATTCAATGCTTATAGTTCAACTCAAAGCTTTTAAATACTTTTAATATAACTGAATTAATAACGCACCCACAACTTTATCCCTCTATGCTATTTGATATGCTCAGTACATTATGCCTGCATAAACATACTGCAATCTAACATATTCAACTGGCACAGCTACTAATTCTGAGCATAGTTTCCATGACTAACTTTTAAGACACATAATCAGTCATGAATCATATTAGATAACAGGCTCACACATCACATGACAAAAAGTAGAAATGTCTTAGAAGAAAGTTATAATGTTCACATATCAAATCTTTATCCATTATGTCCTCTGGAAGACAGATCTGAATTTTCTATTCCATTTTCTGTAACTAATAAATGTACAAAAACAGAAAAATTTCACCATTCTTTTACAAAAAGAATTTCCCTCCTTCCTCCAGCTACTCTCCTATGTAACTTCTACATCACACACACTTCTACAGCCAAACATAACCGATAGGCCTATATATCAGAACTATAGGTGTTCTCATTTCTGATGTGGTCAATGCACATAATCAAAATTAGGCAATTTTTTAAACACCAAGTGGGTCTGTTTTGTGCAGCCACCACAGAGACATTTACTGTATTCCTCCTCAACAAAAGATTGTTGTGTGATCATAAACCTCACATGATATTGGTCATTCCAAGCAAGCATAATTTTGTGAATTTAAAGCCCCATCTCCTTCAACAACTTACTTAAAATAATTGAAATTCTACAGAACTAAATGGTAAACACTAAGTGTCGATACTCTGCATCAACAACATGAAGATGTTTAATTACAAAAATGCTTACGAATGCTATTTACATCTATCTACCATTTGAATAAAACTGACCTTTGATAATAGTAAATGATATTGATAACCAGTAACAGGCACTGAAGAATAAATCTAATAATGATATCAACCAAGACACGTTTACAAAAAAAACATAATGGCAACAGATTTCATGCACATTCCACCACCACAACACTGCCACCTTGAACTGCACAGAGCAAACCTTTCATAACATTTCAATTCTGACATTAGAATTTAGTACAAAATAACAGTCTCTTAATCTTTTAGGGAACTCGCATTCATAACAGTCACTGTTAATAAGAAAAATCAGATACAGCATGAAGTTACTCACTGCAAAATGAACCTTGTATCAACTGTAACAAAAGTCTACTTACAAAGTCGACTCCAATAGTACTGATGTAACTCTCTGTATATGTGTCATCCTGCAAGAAACAAAAATTAACGTCAGTGTCCAGAAACAAGAAAGAAAGCCAAGCCTGTTGATTCCCCCATTCACAAGATCTTCCAAGAACAAGAAACATTCATGTAAATGGTAATCTATCAGTTATGACACAAGGTTAGTATTCAAAAGGTTCTGAGTTCCAATGAAAACCACTGACACTAATCTCTGCAAAGAAGACTATAAAAGAATCTGTCAATAAAATGGCAACCAAACTCCCAAAATGGTTCTTATACGAAATATACATCAAAAATTGACACATCAAACAGAATCTACCACAGGTATTAATGCAATGCCCATCGCATTCGACACCTCGCTGGTTGTGCAGCAATTCCTCGCCGAGAAAAGCATTCCCGTCATCACCCAACCACCATACTCTCCAGATCTCGCTCCAAGTGACTTCTGGTTGTTCCCTACTCTGAAAATGGGCCTCAAGGGGGCGCGTTTCCCAACCATGGAGGACATCAAATCGAATGCGACAGCCGAACTCTGGAAGTTTCCAAACGAAGCCTTCCGTCGGTGCTTCCAACAATGGCAGGATCGATGAAGCAAGTGTGTGTGTGCGCAAGGGTCCCACTTTGAAAGTGCCATGTCCTACCATTACAGTGCTATACCTCAATTCCAGGAACTTTTTGACTGCCCCTCGTAAGTTAGCATTTAAATATATGTCCCAAACCTCTAATCACTTGAATGTGTCACTCTTGACTGAGAACTGTTTAATACAGCTTGAAATGTCTAAAAAAACTGCTATAGTAAAATTTACAAAATTACTATACCACCATTCACCCTGTACTAAATAAATTATCAAAATTAACAAACAAGCAAGTGCTGAAAACTGAAAAATTTTGAAAATCAAAATTATAAATGGGCTTCCTAAGTAACAAACAATTTGAGTCTAGGGGTCGGTTAATAACTCATACGCGTGCATTATTTAATATTTGTTCAAATCACAAAAATGGGGTTTTGTAACATGAGTTCCCCAATTTATATGATTAATTACAATATATTACAAAGCAAAAAAATACAAGACACTCTTCCAAGAGGCTACACCACATGTTCTGTAGAAATAGCAAATACCACAATTCTTTCTATTAATTTAAAATAAAGGTATTCTGTTCCCATCACACCCCAAGTAATGAGAGCAATCAAGCCAACACCTGTATGTGTTCACTATTATAGATTCACAGCCCCTGAACCAATGAAAAGAAGCTGTGATTTTGCAAATTGGGCATGAAACATGTGCAGGGAACAAAGAAGTGTATGTAAATCTAACAAAACAACGCAGGGATATCTGTATTTACTATACACAGTACAAGTCTGAAGAGACCAACCTATAAGCTTCTAAAACATATCTTGCTAATGTTTTAATTCAAAGGAATACTGAAAGGAGCATCACCATCTTGTCTGTAAATCCATGAATTTATGAACGTCACATTCTTCAGCTCTTATGTCTCAACACTGCCTAGAAATGATGCCTGCTTCATTCACCTTCAGACGCATAATTTTGGAAAAAAACTGTACACTACAAAAACAACTTTTTGGGCCTAACTACATAGTACTTCGTAACTATAACCACACTGTTGGTGTAGAACTCCAAAATCTAATGCAAATGTACACTAACACAATCTTTGCAACAAAGGAATAATTCAATTCTTTATTATTGGTGTGCTGTATCAACAGCCAGAGGCCAATTACAGATACAGCACAAGAGAACACAATAACAAATATAGAAAGGAATATAAAAATACATTAGTACAGAGGATGCTAATACACAAAGAAATTTGCTACTAAATACATTAGTATATTTGTAATAATAATTTAAATAAATTAAGTAAATTAGACTATTATAGAATGTGATGAAGTATGACAATTTTCGTTTCGAATATGTCCAAGCGAAAGATAACATTTTCCAGTGTCACCCCTATCAGGCACAACAAAACCCTTTGTTCCAAATATCTCCGAGCTGATCGCCAAAAACCACTTGTTTAGACTACAGAAAACAACATCTCTTAATGATCACATGATCACAAACCACCACAAAGCATGAAAAGGTTAGGCTAGAAACATGGTCCTTGAACAACCTACAAATGCAATACCAATTCATCAAGTATTATATCCATGTCAGATTGAAAATGACAGACTGAAACAGAAAACAAATGATAGGCCAAAGTATGATTTGATTTATGCAGATGTAACAACTAGGGCTAGAAACTTGGAATTTACTCCAGCATATTCAGAAATCTACCAGCTTCTTGTGAAATGTATTAATTGGTCTGACTCATGGATTCTTTGTCAAAGAGACTGTAATATTTATATTATGCCCATCAAAGTAAGCCATCACAATCCTGTAACTGGGCAATGCAGAACCTCTCTGATTGGCTACCTGCTTAAACTAACTAGACCTGAAACATCAGGAGCCGTAAATCCTATAATAGGCACATCACTCAGTCTACTATAAAAATTTGTGATTTGTCATCGTCAACCAATTTGTCGTCAAAAAATGACGTCATCAAACAATGTTACATTATATTTGTTTACTCGGCATTTTTGTACCAACACAACAATGCTGAGTGAACTCACTCTGCTCAATTCTTATTTTTTTACTATAAAAATTTCTGATTCCCTGTCATCGTCAAACAATTTCTCGCCAAACAATTACGTCATCAAAGAATGTTACGTTATATTTGTTTACACGGCATTGTTGTACCAACACAAGTAAATAAATCACTTGAGTAAGACAGTAAACTAACCCCCCTGAAGGGGGTTAGTTTAGTGTCTTACTCAAGATATTAAAACGCAACCATTTACATTCTTTACAAAAAGTATACAATCACCAAAACAACACTCTAAAATATATAAATTTTGTTCACTACAAAATTGAGAATGTGTTGATAATACTTACTGCAAATCTAAGCAAAAGACATGATTTTCCAACTCCTGAGTCACCAATCAACAGCAATTTGAAGAGGTAATCACTAGAACAAATTGAAGTTAATAGGTTACCTGACAGATACAAAGTTGACAAGTTATTTAATAATCTTCCATCAACAATTAAAAGTCTAAATTATGATATAAAGGTATTCAAGCCTGCATTGAAAGATTACCTCTTTACTCACTCCTTCTATTCTGTAGATGATTTCATCTCTGCTGAAAATGTTTAAGCTTTATATCCATAATCTACATATATGTAAAGCAAGTTTTGTATTTATATTTAAAATTCTGAGGTTTATGTATATTAAATTGTAAAATTATTTTTCATGCTTGTATTGCAGAATCTGAAATTTATGTACATTGATATGTGAAATACGTTCATGTACTTGTGTTGAAAGTTCTGAAGTGTATGTATACGTATTGTATGAAATGACATGTTCTACATCCTTTGGTTGAGTCCTAAGAAGGATCTATGGA